CTGGTTGTGAAGTGAAATCTGGCTTCCCTGTTGACCGTTGCTTGTCGCAAAAGGGGATTGCGTGACCCTGGGGGGGGGAGGGGGAATGCTGAAACTGTCATAAGTAGAAGTCAGTATTTGCCAAGCATCTGAATTTTGATCAAGTGACTAGGGGGGGATGCTGCAATGGTCGTAAGTGTGAAAAATGGTCGTTAAGTCACTTTTTCCAGTGACATCGTAACTATTGTGGTTTGCAGACGGCCGAGGAATTGGACAGTGGGGAAGAACGGGGACTAGTCCAGGAGTCTGGAGAGGACTCAGATGAAGGGCCTGTGTCCGATGCAGAAATGGGGCCAGGACCATCTGGGAGTGGGGTGCTGCCTCTGGAGCCTCCAGAGTCTGGCAGCAGCGAGGCCGAGGAACAAGGGGAGCCTGTTCCCAGTGCGCGTATGCACAGAGCTTCTAGAAGGCAAGAACAGCTGAGACAAAAGGGGCGACTCAGGAATAAGGCTGGGAGGTGATTGGCCCTCCCATAAGGGATAAAAGTCAGGCCAAGATGACGAAACCTTTGTAGGAAGCAAAGTCGTTTGTTCTGTTCAGATTAATCCTTGAAGCTCTGTGTGGATTTTGTACTTCGGTTGTACTTTTTTTATAGTTCATTTGGCACTTGAGTTGTTGGCAGCAATTCAAAGGAGAGAAAGGTGGGTGCTTATCTCGAGGGACTGTTTGAGATTCATTACAGGCTGGGAATGAACATAATTCCCAGCGCTGAAATAAAACAAAGAGTTGTTTTAACTAAGCATGTGCTTAATTACGGTCTCGGGAAGCCTTGATCAGAACAGTAACTTTGAACAGTCCCTAAATGAACTGTTGTAAGTCGAGGACTTCCTGCCATCTTATACTAGGATGTGGTAATTATGCAGGAACGGAAGGAGGAGGAGGAGGAGGAGAAGAAAAGAAGAAGACCACAGCCGTTTGAAAGTGGGTTTTGTTTTGTTTTGTTTTAATACGTTGACAATTGTCCAGAAAGAAAGAAAGAACATACAACAGCTAAAACCTCCAAACACGATCATTATTTATTTATTTTATTTATTTATTTTTAAGGCCACATTTAAAAAAAGAGAAAAAAACCCCACGATGAAAGACCTTAAGGCTTCTTTAACATAAAAAAAGGAGTAACTCACTGGATGCCATGGCATGAATACTGAGTTGGAAATAAGGATTCCCATAGGGAAATCTTTCAACCAAGAGCCTAAAGTCTCAAAAACTTTTGAAAACAAAGCCAATACAGGCTTTTTTTTTTTTTTTTTGCTGTTCTTAATGGCAGCTGACGAATCAATGGAGCACGTATCCAGCATATTCCCAGCAAAAATCAAAGCTGCTAGTCTTGACAAGGGACAGAACCTCTTATTTATTTTATTTTTTTTCGTGTTTTTTTTTTGTTTTTAAACCCATCAAAGGTGATATATATATTTATATCTATATATATATTTCCTTAATCACAAACGGAATCAAAGAACGAGCCATCATCATTATTATTATTATTATTTTTATAATATACAAAGGCAGCACAACCAATTGCGCCGGATATGAAAGAGCTCTGCTTATCAGAGACAGCTGTACAGTATCTTGCTGTTTTATTTGGCAAGGTTTTACAAATCTAATACTTAAAGAGAAGTTTTTTTTTCCTTACTTTCCCCATCTTTTACTTTTATCGATTACCAAAATAGAGAAAAAGAGACAGAGAAAGACACCGAGAGTGAGAGAGAGAGAGAGAGAGAGAGAGAATTTGCATAGATTGTACATTCAACTCAAAAGAGATTTTTTTTTTAAACCCCAATTTCCTCCTGCCTAGCTTTTCTGTTCCTCAAAAGAACGTAATTTTTTAAAAAATTATCAGTGAGGTAGCACCTGTGAAGCAAAAGAAGGAGGCAGAAATGATTAAAAGCAAAAACAAAACTCCAGAACAGACTGAAACCAGAGTTGGTCAGCATGGGGAATTGCCAGCATGCCTTCCTTTCTCCAAGATTGTACGACCAGAGTGAAAAATTACTATTCACACCATTTGGAAGGGGGTCTATAGGGTAGTCCTCAACTTACGGAGGACCCACATTTCTGTGGTTAAGGGAGACATTAAATGAGTTTCACTCTATTTTACGACCTTTCTTGCCACAGTGAATCACTGCAGCCGTCGTAAGTTGAGGATTACCTGTAGTGACTTATATTCCTAACAGTGACTTCTCCTCACCATCCTGCCCCCTCCTCCATTCACAGCAACAACTTCGGTTGAGAACTTTAGCTACTCAAATTGCTTCCAATGGTTGGGTTTCGGGCAGGGGGGGGGGGAGTGCTTTTGAATCCCAGAGAGCGCAAAGGATGAAAAACAATTATTTCCTATTTCATGTGTCCTGCTGTTATCGGATATTTTCCACTTGGCTGAACCTCCACGTTTTGGCTCCCCTTGGAAGCGGGATCAAAAAAAGCTTCTGACTCATGATTAGATGGGTCAAGCTTGTGTTTGACCAAAGAAACCTTAAGGGGACACGTAGCATCTGCCAGTGGGTCTCCTGGTTTCTTGACAGGGCCTTCAACAAACCATCTAGGGCAGGAACGTCCAAACTTGGTAATCGTTAAAGACCTGTTGGACTTCAACTCCCAGAATTTCCTCAGCCAGCCTGAAGTGGAAGTCCACAAGTCTTAAAATGGTCCAAGTTCCATTTGACCATCCCCAAACCATGGAAGACAGGAAAGCAGAAAGTCGGTGGGAGCAACTCTGGAGCTATTAGATGTGGATAGATGACCTCTCCCTTCTTCCCTGGTTATTGGCTATGTTCGAACTATAGGATAACACTATTTTTTTTTTTTAAAAAAAAAACCTTGTGTAAGACACAGAGGGGAAGCAGTTTTGACTACTTGGTGTGTCCTCTGGATATTTAGGTCTGTGACCTCCCAGCTTGACTGGAAGGCATATTTGGAAGGCACTGGCTGGAGTAGAGTAGAGTAGACCCATATTATATAGTTGAGTTTCTTAAGATTTCAGGTTTGGGAAGGAATGTAAGATCCACACAACCATTCTGGTTCATCATGAGGAACCTTGTGCAAGGCAGATTCTAGATGGTGGAGACATGAGGTGAACCTCTTCTTCCAACCGCCTACCCCACAACCTCTGCACCCTCCAGATAGGTGGGCCTCAACTCTCGTTCTTGTCTTACCACACCTGCTTATCTTCACTATCCAAGTCATGCTGCCTTCAACTCATTCTCCTGACCCATCTGTCCATTTCCATATTCACAAACAGGTTGCCTTTATCCTGAACTGTATTTTGCTTCCTTCAACAAATATACCTTGCAACAGACCAAAATGTTGCGTATCAAACACGACGGCATGATGGGAGTGTTGATCTGAAATGGACTGGTCCTTTAGAATGAGGAATATTGGGTCAGAAATAAAGGCCATCTGATTGTCCTCGTCTCCTCTTCAGAAGAGGCCTAGATGTTTCTCCATTTGGGTCAGAGGAAAGCCATCTATGGAAGAAACGAGTTCATGTCTCCTAGGACATGCCTTATGACAGTTGTGGATGGCTGGATGGACAGATGGAGATACCACATGAAGGCCACAGAAAAGTCTTCATGATGGAGATGCCCGTATGGAATGACACTGTTGGTGGGATGGCTTGTGATGGAGGAGTTGTCTTCTCACTTGGAGCAACTTGAACCTTGAGTAAAATATCTCCTCGCCTCTTCCGTAGGCAAGTCCTAAAACCTCTGAATGCACAGATAGTCCTTGACTTACAACCACAATGGAGGCCAACATTTCTGTGGCTACGCGAAACAAAGCTGTTAAATGAGATTTGCCCCATTTTACGACCTCGCTTGCCCCAGCTGTTACATCAATCACTGCAGTTGTTAAGTTTAGTATCACGGTGGTCAGCATCAGGGCTTCTCCCCTGACTTTACTTAGCAGAAGGTCGTAAAAGGGAATCATGTGTCCATGGGACACTGCAACAGTCATAGATACATGTCAGTTGCCAAGTTTCCAAATTTCGATTATGTGAAAAACAGCTGTAAGTCACATTTTCAGTACCATTGAAACTCTGAATGGCTACTAAACAAACAGCCATAAGTCGAGGACTACCTGCTTGGAGATGATGTCATTCCTACATTAGGGAACTTCGGTTCTAGTCACTATTGTCAAAATTGGGGTGGGGTGGGGGTCAGCCTCCAAGATTCCTTCTTCGGCTTGGCTTCTTTCCAGCTGCCATAGAAAACGGGTTGGGGGGAGGAATAATTGGGCCTCGTGGGGGGGGGGAGGGTGCTGGAGGATGCACTTGGTGAATTGTAAAAGTTGGGGTGCTTTCTTGATTATGCTTCCTTGCTTACTGAGCGTATGTAGTCACTTATCTTTCCAGGCCAGGGGTCACCAACCTTTTGGACCTCAGGGACCACCCAACTCATAATTTTAAATCCTGCGGACCACTACTACTCATAATTTTGACTGATGGTAGCTTGCTGATGTTAGTGGGAAAGTCGGTCCCCTATTCCAGAGCTGCAGTAGTCACAGGACTGGCTCTTCGGTCATCCTGGAGCAGCTGCTCCTCCACCCGGGTGCACCGGCCTGCCATGGAGGAGCTGCACCAACATCATCAAGCCACCCCAGTGGGTGGATTTCCCTCCCTGCCAACTCACTTCCAGGAGTTGTGGGGCTCCGTCACTGGAAGTCTTACTTTCAGTGTTCCAGCTCACGTGGCTTGACTCAAGGTAAGGTTTGCATTTGGCCAAAGGGTGGGGGCCAGCAGGTGGGTGGACCATGTGGGTGGCACAGCCTTGTGTTCCTGCACAGCTGGATTAATTGCTTTGGGGGAGACATTTCTCTGTGGACCCCCAACATTTTCTCACGGACCACCAGTGGTCCCCAGCCTACTGGTTGGCGACCACTGTTCTAGGCCAAGGTCAACTGTGCCAGATGTGTGAGATGCCACCTGACAAATAACATTATACACTCCTCAGATTGGATGTCCAGTCTGAACGATTGGGGGTGGGCACATGGGAATAAATTTCTATATGTGATTTTCGCGCCTATTTGCCTCAGACCTTGTATTTCTTCGGACACTACTCCTTCAGATTCAGTAAAAGTCCTTTTCTCAAAATAAAAATAAATAAGAGTCTAAGGTTTTCTTTCTTGGATCTTGAATGGAGCTACACCTGACATTATACCAGACGTCGAACAAAAGCAAAACTGGAAGGAACGGAAAGGAGAGGAAAGGAAAAAAAGAAAAGACTATTTCCTTTTGTTTTAAAGGCCTTGCCTTAATAAAGGCAGCGGTTATTCAGCGAGATAAGATCACTCCCTAGCGAGCTGCGTAACCATTCGTCATTGACTGAAACACAAATAAACACGTTAACATGGTTGTCTCCTTTCTTTTGGGCCAGCTAAATATTGAATGCTCTGCCTTTACGCCTGCACAGCAGCTGACACTGCAATTTCAAAAGTCCAAAGCAAAATCCCACAGCTTTAAACCAAGGAGGACTGGAGAGCTGGGGTGGAATTCATGAACTTGTCTTCCCAATGTCACGTTTGACTCTGCAGCAACTCGTTTTAAAAGGGAAACCAGATTTTTGGTTGTTGTTGTCCCTGTTTATCTTTTCAGCCCTTCTGCTCTTCTTGTGGTCTTTAAATGTGAGTTGGGTTTGAAATGAAAGAAAGGCCCCCCCAAAAGGAGAAAGACAGCTTTTGTTAAAAACAATCAATTGGATCCCAGAGGATCCATCCGTGGATATATGAACTGAAGATCCAGAATAACAGTTAGTCCAACCCCCTGCTCATGTAGTGTGTCTCAGCAAAAAAACCTTTGTCCCTCTATTGTCGGAGTGCAATTTAAGTTAGGATGAGGTCATTTAATTAGGAATAAAATTTGGCTTTTTGCACCCTTGACTTAAACCTTGCAGCTCCCAAAGCTAAAACAGGACTCGGAATCTGCGAAGAGTTAAAAATAAAAATAAAGTAAATACAAAACTGGATTCAAACGGAGGCGCCTCGGTCTTGTTTCGGAGAAACAACTCTGGAAAAGTGCCTGCTCCATTTTTCTCCATTAAATGGAATGCTGTGGAAGAGTAGAAGGCAGCTAATTTCTTTCCAGCTATCAGTTCCCTGTCTGAACTTTTTTTAAAAAGCGCTTTCTCCTTTCTTTACAGGGCACCTACCGCACAACAGAGCAAAACTAAGCATTGCTGTTTATGTGGGTATGAGTGTGTCGGTGTGTGTCAAAGGGATATTTCTCTCCAGCCTGTGGAGCTTATGATGTGTCCTTTGGAGAAACAGCTTGCGCTGGCTTATGCCGTCTCATCTAGTCTTGGTTTGTCTATGTTCACACAACTGCTTCTTGAATCGACCCCTTTCTAGCTGTTGGCAAAAGATGGGACCACAAGCTAACCAAACAGGCTGGATGCCCACCACCAGTAAGCCACGATTGGCCAAGTTGAAAGCCCACAAGCGTAGCACGTTATGAATTGAATCACTTGATCTAACCTGGTTGAGGATGCCGAACAGAGCTCTTGAAGCATTGATCCATCACTAAAATGATTACTAGAACCAGGAGGAATAGTTATTGGTTGCTTTCTAAGTCACACCCTTTCCCACCAAAAGAAGGCAATGCCGAGATTCAGATGTCAAAAGTCTAGTGTCTAGTCTAACAGATACACTAGACACACAAACATCCTGATGCAAAGGGATTTATTTATTTTTTTGGATTTCTGGAAAACTATTTTCCAGTCTGACCTGGGGATGTGAAAAACTCAACACAGGAGTTTCGGCTTTCTCCTTTGAGCTGACTCCCTCGCTAGCTGTATTTGGAAGAGCAGAGGCCTCCAAACTTGGCAACTCTAAGACTTGTGGACTTCAACTCCCAGAATTCCCAGAAGACTTGAATTGAAGTCAAGTCTTAAAGTTGCCAAGCTTGGAAACCTCCCCCATCGCCCTTTAGTCTAGAGAAGTCTTGGGTGATCATTAGCTCATCTAGAGGACCAAACTCCGAATCTCTGTTGGCACGAAAGGGTGAAATTAACACTCTGTATATTGCACCATCTGTGGATTCACAATATAATCACGTTCTAAGTTTGGCTATCTGGAGTAACAATGTGAATGCTTTTGTGAGATGTCAAAGGAGGGCGGTTTGAAACATGTGGACCACTGGAAAAAAAAAGAGAGGAATTTTAGCAATTGTGACTAAACTGCTTTGCTAAGACTTTTGGGAAACTGAAAAATATATATATATATATATATATATGGCCGGGATACAGCATATTGGTGTGTGAGATTGAGAAATAAATTAGCTCTGATCAGAGTTGAAAAGACGCTGCCCCCGCTTTTAGAAACTTCAGACTTCCTACAATTGGTTTCTCCTTTCCTGCTTGTTCCCCGACTTCCAAAACCCTTGAGAAGACAAAAACTGGTCAGTAAAAGAGGCTGGGGTTTTCAGCCCCCTCTTGAACATGGATCCGTAGGTTTTCTTTAAAGACTCTTCCGTTAGCTCACCTGCACCCTGTACCAACCCCATCCGAAGAGTATCACGAGAGCAAAATGCTCAGGTTGCCTTTTTTAAAGCCAGCAAAAGGGGTACCAGGTGCTACCTCAAGCGTCCATCGGGTCTCACGGGGCCCAGCTCAGACTTTGGGTCAGGACTGAGGGAGCTCCAGGACGTCTGGCTGCAGGCCTGCATGAGAGGACAGGAGGTTGGGCCCGTAGTACAGATGTCGACGGCTGACCACACGCTTCCCACCAAACTGTCCACCCAGGTCTCCAGCTTGGTGCCCGTCAACATGGCGTTCTTCTTCAACTGCTCCAGGTGGCCAGTGCTGACTGGAATGTTTAGCACGGGGTTGAGCCCTTGAAAGCTCTGCTCCATGTAGGCGTTCTTCGGAGGTCCACCATGCAGCTTTGTGGCTTCCTCTAAAGGCAAAAGAAAGAAGTATTTGGGTTAAAAGAAAAAAAGCTCATTTCCAGAAGAACAATGCTACAAAGTCCCTTCCAACTATGATCATTTGTTATCTGTTATCCACCGGAATATTGGAATATACGGAAAATGAAAAAACGGTTCTTTCTGATCTTGGAAAAAAACAACAAAAGCCTTACCTTGTCGGATGGCTTGCTTGTTCAAAAATGTCAGAGGAGAGACCAGGAATTTGGTCTCTGCCACAGGCACCCAATGATGTAGGATTTTAATGGTCCAGACTCCGGGCCGGAGGGGTAAATTCAAAGGTGGCTTGTAATGGGTGAACTCGGCACTGGATTCGATCAGGATATCGTAGGTGGCAGCAATGACATTAACGGGATCCACCCAGATCACGGTCACGGTGACGTTGGGACCTTTTGCCCACTTCTGCATGCTCACCGGCTCATCCGTCGGTGAAATAAGGCCTCCAAAATTGCGGAATATTCTCTCTTTCGCATCCCAGTCTGTGCCAACCTAAAAGAACAGGAAGCAATAGCGTCAGAAATAACTCTGTGATTTTTATTTCTACTGTTTAGGAAGTGGTTGCATATCATGCATATCCTATGACAGTGGTGGCTAACTTTTTTGGGCTCCTGTGCCAAAAATTGTGTGCGCGCTGGTGCTCGTGCACTCATGTGCCAGCACCCAGAAGACAATGCTTGCGGCGCATGCATGTGTGATTCCCCCGCCGCCACCCCCTTACCTGCACTGCGCCTCCCAGTCGATTTTTGGCCGGTTTGAGGCCTTTTTCGGCCTGCCAGAGGCTTGAGGGAAGCCTCTCCAGGCTTTGCAGGCCGAAAAATGGGCCCGTTTTGTCATTTCTGGAAATATAGGAAGCGATGAAACAGGCCTATTTTTTTGGCTGCAAATCCTGCAGAGGCTTTCCTCAAGCCTCTGGCAGGCTGAAAAAGGCCCAAAAATCAGCTGGCAGGCGCACGCATGGGCAGTGAGGTAAGTTTGCCTGGGGCTCGCATGCCCGCGTGCCACCTGTGGCATGCATGCCATAGGTTTGCCATCACGGCCCTATGAGAAACTTCCGGCATTCATTGATACCTCCAGAATGGTTAAAAAAAAATTCTGGCTAGGGAATTCTGGGAGTTGAAGTCCACCCATCTTCCAGGTGGTCCAGGTTGAGAAACATTGCACTAGTGTGTATTGGTGTCAACTCATAAAATATTTCTATGGTCGTCTTTAGAGTTGCCAACAGAAAGGGAGGGGGGAAAGGGGTTTGAAAGAGCAGTGCGGCAGCTTGGAAAGCAAAAGTGCATTCCATAAATAGTTTTTCAAAGATAGTAACTAGGTGACTGAAGTTTCTGCCATGCAAATATCTAACTGGAGAGCATGATTGATGACTCTTGGCTATGGATGTGTCCCATTGGAGAATATGAATTATGATACACCCAGGGGGTGGGGAAAAACCAGGGTCAAGGGTGACAATGAATGATGTATCTCAGAGTTGGCTACACCCAGGCAGTGCTGGACATGTTAACTCCCAATAAATCCTTTTGAAGTTTTGTAAATATGGCTCGAGACTCATGACTTAATTGGGGTAACTGCCAGAATCCTGACAGCTAGCTGACTATCAGTTGGGTTGATTTGAAAATAGTGGGATGATGTTGTTGTCGTCGTCATGGAAACTCTCATAAAAATAGGCACAGAAGAAACTTACCATATGGGATCCTTGGTGCTCTCTGAACTTAGTTAGTTCTCTTTCAGACATTGCACGACCCAAGTAGGTAATCATATCAAGTGTGATTGGATTTGTGCAGAGGAGGATAACGAGTGTGGGGTCCTTGGTGCTCTCTGAGCTTGGTTGTTTCCTTGCAGACATTTCATGACCCAACTAGGTAACCTCATCAACTGCTAGAAGGGAGACAGAGAACAAACACTCATGCCCTCCTAGTATTGATGATGTTACTGTGTTGGGTCATGAAATGAGTGCAACAATGATAACAACAACAACAAAAACCAAGCTCAGAGAGCACCAAGGACCCCTCATTTCAAACTACATCTATTTTCTTTTATCGGAAACCTACCATGTGCCAGATGCTTGTTGGGGAGGCAAATTATCCTGGGTTAATTAGATATCCGAACCTCAACAACAATAGTGGTTCCACACCAAACAGTGCTTCTTGCTCATTCACCAATGTGTTGTTACAAAAATTCAAGACAATATGCCTAGAAATGCCTGTTTTCCCTGAGATTGTTGGTTGTCCCAAAGTCACCCAGGTAGAGTCCATGGGGAACTATGGAACCTGGGGGCTCCCCGTTCCTAGACCCATAACTTCACAGCAACATCATACTAGCTTAAATAACACATCGATAAATAATTTATTTATAATAGGTAGAGGACAAATTATATTCAAAAAGAGCAAATTCTACCCAAATTCATTAAAAGTTGACCAGGGCTAACTATTGATCTGCTCTAATCAACATGCATTAGATGACTTCACCTCTCCTGAATAGAAAAGCAAGTGATATTTAAATATCGAGCTTTCTAATACCAACTCAAGATTAATAATGCTGTTTCTTCTGGCCTTTGACAATTATTCCAGGAAGAACCCAAACACATTTTTTTTTGGGGGGGGGGGGTAATGGCTTCAATATACAATTTCAACCCTTTAAAGCATAATTCCAGAGGGAAAAGGACAAATTTACCTATGCAGGAACTGCAGCTCAGGCTTTCAAGATTCAGGTAAGGGAAATGTTTAATTAATGATTACGGCTGTTACGCCTGGAGTTTTTAAAAGATCACCTTCAACTTTTGGACCAACCTAATACATGCCATTCTCTTCCTGGCAATAGATGAGTAATTTCCACGATGATATTGCACCCTAACAATGCCATTTTAATTCATTACCATCAAGCATTAGATGTTTCTTCTAATGGAGAGACTTGACTATGTCTCTATGTTTCAACTAGCAAGTATTAAACCAGACAGAAGAAAAAGAATAGGATTTCTTTTTAGCTGAAGGAGGGAGGTGAAATAAGATTAATAGTAATCTCAAAATAATGTCTGAACGCAGGCCAGGATGGCTGCAAGGGCCACATAATTAACGCCTACCATTGCATGATATGGACAACACTTTACATATTATGGGTACCAGTACCACCATCATTCCTGTGGACATTCTTGAATTCTAATCCGTGTTAATTCTAGATCCTAGAATTAGATCCTTGGGATATACTGAATCCTAGTTGTATAGGCAGGGGAATTCTGGGAGTTGAAGTTTGCATATCTAACTAAGATTGAAAAACACTGTCCTAGATTATTCTAATATAGGATTTCCCAACCGTGGCAATTTAAAGACCAGTGGGCTTCAACTCCCAGAAATCCCCAGCCAGCTATGTGTCTTAAAGTCCATGTGTTTTAAAGTTGTCAAGGCTGGGCAACCCTGTTCTAATATCAATTTAATACATAATATGAATTAATTTAAATTTGTTAATATTAATCTGAATCTACTATGAGCCCTTTGGGTCATCTGTAGGGAAAAACGTATAGAGAAAGTGTAATCAAAGAATGACGAGTAAAGCCAAAACTTTGAAATTTTTCCAAACTTTAGGGATGTATGTATGTATGTATGTATGTATGTATGTATGTATGTATGTATGTATGTATTCACAAATCCACCAACTCTCACAATCCTGAAACTTCACTTAGCTATGTCTTCAAAGCAAAAGACGGCTTCCTTTTAAAGCTGGAAAACTTTTTCCTACCCAACTGTGAGCTTTCTAATTGCAGGGAGTTATTTCTGGCTACGGACGCTAATTTTATACCAAACGTTTGGGGAAGATGACAGTCCCTATAATCTGGGGAAGATTATTTTCCTGCTCCTGTTAAGAATACTCTCTCTGATTTCAGTGAAAGTGCAAAAAATGCAACAACTTTTTGCAAAAGACACAAAGCGGCAGTGATGGCATTCTACCGGTTCAACCTGGTTTGGCTCAACTGGTAGCTCCAACGATCAGCTGATGGGTTCTCCCACTCGCCCTGGCTCTACGCTGATCTTCATTTCCTGCTTTTTCAACCTCAGCTGCTTCGTGTGGCACAGCCGATTGCAGCAGGAGGTGAGTTGCAAACGCTGTGCGCGCGCAAAGCGCATGCTCACACCGAACCGGTAGGAATTTTTTTTTTTTGAAACCCACCACTGCAAAGTGGCACTTGCACACAGGGCAAAAAGCTTCCAGCGGTCACAACCTACCATCTGAACGGCCAACACAAATTGCCGTTTAGCAAACGTTCAAAGAACATCAGGTTAGAAGAACAAGGGTGTCAATCTTCACCTCGCTGACCTCAAAACCGCAAGGCATGGGATGACATGGGGCACCCCTGCCAAGGAGAAATGACTAGCAATTTAGATGGTTTCTTTTTGTATAAAAAAAGATGAGATCCATTCAGAGGACCAGGAATTCAGTGGCTACTAATCTTGATACTATTTTCTGCCTCCTAATCCACAAGGCAACCTATTTTAACTACTTGTTTGTTCTTGGGAATGTTTCAAATTCTTCTAGCTGGTCATTCTGGGACACAGTTTAGGCATTGGGCAGGATGATGATTTAATACAACCAAAAGAATGTTCTTATTCTACTCTGGTGGGTCTCTAATATCAGTTATTTTGTTTTAAAATTAATTACAGGGTTGAGAAGGATCTATCTCAACGGCAGGCAGCAGCTGCCTGACCTTGGAAAAACTAAGCAGAGACAGGATAGGTTAGTACTTAGCTGGGAGGCATCCAAGGGCCATACCTTATGATTGAGAAATTGAGAATATATCTTGGAAGAAAACTGTAGCTAAATATTTTCATAGTGACGCCAAGAAAACAGCAAGGGTGTATCCAGGAATTGGATCCTGGATACACCCTTGTATCCATCAAGACTTGAGAGTTTGACTGCAAGGAGACCATGAAAAGGGACCAAATCAAAACCAACAGGAATAACAGAGTTGGAAAAGGCCTTGGAGGTCTCTTTCACACATAGCTACTTGTCAATGTGTACTGTGTACGTTTCCCCATTTTTGAATCAATAGGAATGCAAAGCAATTTGGTTTTGATTGATTTTGTGATTGTTCATTGCCCAGGGTCACTGGCTGGAGATAGGCAGCCATATCAATTGAATAACAAACTAAGTAGCTAACTAAATAAAATGAAGTAAGTAAGGAAGGAAGGAAGGAAGGATGGATGGATGGATGGATGGATGCAGGGCTTCAGGTAGACCAACATTTCTGCTCAAGTTCTTTGTGTTATAGAAATTATACCTACGCAACTGAGAAATTCCTTTATTTGGGAAGGTTCAGCTTTTGCTTTGAGATCGATAGCCCTGATCGCTTATGGGGCTTGTTCCTCTTCTACAAATTTTTATAATCTCCAATTGGTGCACAAGGAAATATTGGGATGGCTGCTTTTCAGGAGAACATCATTTATGGAATACGAACTGTCTACAGAGGTATTCAGTCTAATGATAGATAGATATAGATATAGAATGAGATGAGACAGACAGATAGAGTGATACATAGAAATATATAAATACAGAATGAGATAGATAGGCTATCAGTGATGATAGAGTATATTGAAGATATAGAGATAGAGGATAGATAATATAGAGACATACATATAGGAAGACGATAGATAATAGATGACAGATAAATATATGATAGACAGAGATAGATACATACATACATAGAGATAGATGATAGATAAATAGACTGATAAATAGACAGATATAGATAGGTAGATGATAGATAGACAGAGATAGATAGAGATAGATAGATAAATACCGTAGATAGGTAGGTAGATAGATAAATAGATATGGAGAGATATAGATACATACAAATATAGATAGATGATAGATAAATAGATAGAGATAGATAAGAGATAGACAGATAGACATCATAGACAGACAGATAGACATCTTTCCTGAGCAATCTGGTGTTCTCTTCAGTCTCATCTGCAGATCCCTTGGCTCCCAATTCAGTTTTTGCAGCTTGATAAGCCCATCTTTTTTTCTCCCCCCTCTGAGGCTGATGCATCATTTGACAAAGACAAACAATGTTTTGACTACTGGTTTGTCTCTTAATTGTTCATCATAAACAGGGACTGTTCAGTTCACATGGGGAACACTAATTGCCTGCTGCCTAGTTAATTTTCCCCTCCATGATGAATGGCAACTGTCAAACAAGGCCAGAAACCAGCTTTCTCCCTTCCCTTCCCCAGTTTTCCTGATTCGGTTTAGTGCAAACGATTCTTGGAAACCCTTAAGTTCAACAAAAGCCACCTTGTTTCCGCCTTCAAGAAGTGAGCAAGGAATCCATTGCCTTGCCCATGGCTTCATTTAGGCAATGTGCTGCTGACGCAGGCTGAATAAAGACTTAGAAACATATACAAACAGCATGTTAACTCGTTGTGTGGACCAGTCAACTTGGTTAATTAAGGTTTCAATGCCTAGTATACTCTCAGAAAAATGGGCTAATTCAGTAAAGGGCAAAGTATAAGCCATTTTGTTATAAGACATAGAAGAACCCAATCGTAACAGGTTTATTCTTATTTATGAAATTTCTACACTACTAATCTCACCTAAATGACTCTGGGCGTTTGGCCATGCTGAAGGCTCCTGGTCAGCCAAGGAATGTTGGCTGGTGGGAACCAGCAGACGCACCTTCTCTGCTATTGCATTTGCCCTCTGGAATGGCAATAGCATTTAGACTTATATAGTTCACTACTTCATAGTGCTTTCCAGCCCTCTTTGAGTGGTTTACAGAGTCAGCCTCTTGCTCCCAACAATTTGGGTCCTCATTTTACCCACCTCGGAAGGATGGAAGGCTGAGTCAACCTGGAGTCTGGTAGAATCGAACTGCCAAATTGCAGGCAGCCAGAAGGCAGCAGAAGTAGCCTGCAGCACTGCACTCTAACCTCTGCACCACCATGGCTCATAAGCCTCCTCTCAATGATCAAGATGATCCCCATTACTCTGTTGGTCTTTTGTAACACCAGGAAAACTCGGTTGTCTGCCCGGGCTTGGGGTGCCAAGTGGGTGAAGGGCCCTGTTTCTTGGCTGAATTAGATCCATAGTAATAGTTTTACTTAGTGACATACATATTTATTTTGTACCATTTTAATAGTTTTAATAGTTGTAATTGTTTTAAATTATTTTTGTGTTTTATAATGTACGCTGCCAAGGGTTACTTGTTTGGGCAGTTATAGAAATCAATCCAACCCAATGAAACCCAACCCAACCCAACCCAACTCAACCCAACTCAACCCAACCCAACTCAACTCAACTCAACCCAACCCAACCCAACCTGACTATCAATAAAACCATCCATTTCAAAACTCCGCTATGTCTCCCATCCACAACTAGGCACTTCAACGAGGGATTCGAACTATCTTCACTTTCAAGAATGCAGATGAACAATGTGTACCTCCAAGAAATGTAGCCTTCCAAAATCACTTGGAGGGCTTGCAATCTTGAACACCTTCTTAGGTATAACCCATGTTTCTAAGGTCTCCAGTTTACTGGCAGCCAAATTGGTTGTGTGATGTTTGATGAGGAAGCCCTGAAAATGATCAGCAAGAAAGTAGAGATGGACTGACACTGGATGCCCCATTGGGTAATATCTGGAAAAAAACAAAGGATCAAAGAATAATGACATTAATTAAAAAATAATTGAGAAATAAAGTATCAGTTGCAGAAAGAACTTTTAGAAGCAAAATTCCTGGGTTAACTTTCTCTGGATTTAATGCAAGGCAGAGAAGGGGAAGACACAGAAGATTGTTAGAGAGATGAAGGAGCAATAGAAGACCAGAACAAGCAAAGCCAAGAACATCACAGATGATCATTAAATTTCAGGGAATCTCTCTTCTCTTCCTTTCAAAAGTAATTCTCTTTCATCTATCTGCCCAAGAATTGGGAGGAGAAACAAGTCCTCCAGATGATGTTTTCTCCCCAGCTCTAGCAAAAACTATTCCCAATAAGTAGTTATGGAAATTGGTATGTCGCATACTCCTACAGATGGGGGCCACAGACTTCAAAGGAGAGAAAAGTCAATGCCGCAAAAAGCTCTATACTGACACAAAATGTTGAAGAAGAAAATAAGGAGGACAGCTCAATTTCTATCTCTAGCACGTTGGACTATCTTCTTAGAGCAGGGGACACCAACCTTTTGGACCTCGGGGACCACCAAACACATAATTTTAAACCCCGCAGACCAGAGACCCCAGGAAAATCCCCCAAAAAGTTTGCAGGAAAATTCCCCACCCCGTTTTCCTACCGATCGATCATTTTTTATTTGGGATGGCAGGATACTGTTTCCAGTTCTGTTCTCGGGGCGAGGGGGGGGGGGAAGAGAGAGAGAGAGAGAGACTTTTGGCTTCATGCAAGGAAAGCAGCAGAAGCGGCAGAAGTCTTTCTTTCTCTCCCCCAAATTTCACCAGAAATGAGTCTTTGCTGGCGCAGCCTCTTGGAGCAGGAGGCCTTGCAGGGTCCCAAAGACTCATTTCTGGTGGAATTTGGGGGAGAGAAAGAAAGACTTTTGCTGCTTTCCTTGCATGCAGCCAAAAGCAGAAGAAGAAAGAAGCGGAAAGCAGCAGCCCAGTGGCCAGGCTAGGCATGTGGGGTGAGTGGGGCAAATTCCCCCCTTCCGCCCTTTCCCCCCTCCCCTCACTACCTCGTGTTGTTCGCAATGCAAGCAACACAAGCCTTGTGTTCCCGCAGGCCATGTGGGCGGCGCAGCCTTGTGTTCCTGCACAGCCTGGATTAATTGCTTTGGAGGTGACATTTCTCTGCGGACCACCAAAATTTTCTCTCAGACCACCAATGGTCCCCGGCCCACTGGTTGGTGACCACTGTTCTAGAACAGGTCTGGCCTTCAAAGGTTGGTGAGGGTCATACTTATGATGACACCAATGGGCGATATTTGAAGGAAGGATGTTAGGTCTTGTAGTTCCCCAATATCTAGAGATCTCAGCTTCTCAACACTGTCTAAAAAGGGCTGCAACCCTTGGTTGATGCAGTGATTTGGAACTGCAGGGTGAAAGGAAGACTTGTTTGATCTTACCGGCAACTGTTGTCACCATCCATATGGAAGGACGTTTCTGCTTTCTTCAGGCCCAAACGGGAAAACGAGTGGTAGAGAGTCAGTGCAACATCACTAATGCTGTGGATGCCATCTGGTTCATCGTATACATTCTCCCAGTATGACCGAAGGCCCGGGGTACCAGAAGGATAGTTACCATAGAGATAATAATCCAACTGGGAGATGACTTCCTGATTGACAACCGCCTCAAACTTGCGTGCAAAGAAGGTTGGTCTTGCTGTTTGCTGTGGGAGAAGAACAGTTTCAGAAGGGAAAAATTAGGTCTGAGTTCTTGAATTCAAGGCTATGGTTTCTGAATACAAATCCTTCACTGTTGGCCAAGCTTGCCTGGGAGCTCAGCTGATGGAGACTGAAATCCCAAACATCTGGAGAACCTCAAGTTGCTTAACCCTGAGCTGTTTCTTCCACGCTAGTAGATCAAGAAAGTTCTGGAAAATACTTCAGTGTTGGTCTCGTATATGGGAAGTTCCTCTTTTCCAAAAGAAATTGACTCTCTCCAACATTAGATTTCAAGAAGGGAGGGAAGGAAGGAATAGTGGAAGGAAGGAATAGTGGAAGGAAGAAAGGAAGGAAGGAAGGAATAGGGGAAGGAAGGAAGGAAGGAAGGAAGGAAGGAAGGAAGAGGGGAAGAAAGGAAGGAAAAGAAAGAGAAAGGAAGAAAGGACGGAAAGAAGGAAGGAAGAGGGGAAGGAAGGAAGGAAAAGAAAGAGAA